CCAGATTTGAGGGAATTCCTACAGCAGCAGAACATACTGTCTCCAGTCAACAGCCACAGGAAGTCCCAAACACAAGGACCCCATAGCGGGTTGTGGGCAGCCTCAGCTCCAGCCTTGACCTCTGACCTGTCTTCCCCAGACACTATGCCACAAGGCACCCCTCCTCTCCAGACCTTCCATGACTTCTTACATAAACCTCTCCCTGATGATGTCTTACGATACCCAGGGGGAGCTGACCCTCTATACATGCATCATACAGCCCCAGGACATTTCTGAATATATAGGTCAGTCTTTCTCAGGAAATGTCCTACTAACATCTCAGACAGCTACCTATGATGAGATTCATTCAGGCTTGTTGCCCAACGCTCATTATTCACAATGCTATTTAATATTCCATTATATGAAGGTGACACACTTTGTCCATTCTACTGTTGACAGACACATGGATTATTTCAAATTTAGGGTTGTTACAAATAATGCTGGTAATATATACTCTTGTCACGTCATTTGGTACATTGGGTTACAGGGTAGTGGACGCTGCGTTACAGGGTAGAGACGTGCCCAGCTTTCAGAGATCTCGCCAAGCAGTTTCCCAGAGTGACTGCCCACTTACATCCCCCTCACCAGCATATGAGCATTCCTTCTGCTCAGTACTTTCACCAACATTTAGGACTGTGAGGCTTTTTAATATTTGCCAATTTGGTAACTGTCTTGATATTTCATGTTCGTTTTGATGTGCATTTTTGTGCTGTCTCAGCACTTTTAATATTAAATATAAGAATTTATATTGGCCAGACTTGGTTATTACTAAAGTCTGCCTTCAAATATCAGAGCAATCAGCAAATCTGTCAACACTCTTCAAATCTATCCAGGGAGCCGACCCAGTGGCCGCAGCAGTTAAGTTCGCACGTTTTGCTTCGGCAACCCAGGGTTTGCCGGTTCAGATCCCGGGTGCGGACATGGCACTGCTTATTAAGCCATGCTGTGGTAGGCATCCCACATATAAAGTAGAGGAAGATGGGGACAGATGTTAGCTCAGAGCCAATCTACCTCAGCAAAGAGAGGAGGATTGGCAGCAGGTGTTAGCTCAGGGCTAACCTTCCTTAAAAAAAAAAAAGAAAACTATCCAGAAAAAAAGTATGCATCCAGAATAAAATCATTTTTTACTATATCCACCACTACAAACTTGGTCCAAGTCACCATCACCCCTCATCTGACTACGACAGCCTCCTAAACTGGTCCCCCTGAATCTACCTTGCCCCTATTCTTGTAACTCAAACAGAAGCTGCACCAAGGCACTCCTTTGCTCAAAATCCTCCAATGGCTTCCCAACTCATTCAGTATAAAATCCCAAACTCTGACCACGGCCTACAACAAGGTTCTGCATAACCTGGCCCCTGGCTACATCACTACCCTCATCTCCCACCACTCTCCCTCTTACTCAGGTCCAGTTACACACACCTCCTTGTCCCTCAAAGCAAGCCAACCACTTTTCTATCTCCAGTCTTTTGCAACCACTGTTCATCCTGTCTGGAAGACTCTTCCTCCAACTGAAGGAATCGTTGCCTCAATTCTTTCAGGTCTCTGCTTGGATGTCCCTATCAAAGGCTTTCTCTGACCAACCTATCTAAAATAGTGCCACCGCCACTCATCATTCCCAAACCCCACTATCCGACTTTAACTTTTTCACTGCATTTATCATCACCTAACATTTTATATATTTATTTATTATCTCTCTCCTCACACTAGAGCACAAGATCCATCAGAACAGGGAATTTTATCTGTCTTGTTCAACATCGGACCCCCAGTATCTACACAGTACCTTGTATATACACAGGTTGACAAATATTTGTTAAATAAAGAATGAAAGATAACAATGCCAAGAATAAAATAGATTATCAACGTCAAGAATAAAACAGTATCTATGAACTTCTTCTAGAACCAGATAAGAACCTGCTTGGAATGATGGTCCTACTGCATGTAACAGTGCTATGCCCATAATGGTCAACAAATGTTCAATTAGTAAAAGAACAAGGGAAAAATTGCCTTTTGTTGTCCTATTCCCTTCTCTCCTGCCCTTTTAGATCTTCTAAAATAATACAGAATTTACTTCCACACTATTATTAATTTTTTAACGGTACGCATATTCGTTTTCAAGAATCTATTCTTTCCAGATTATGCTTTAAAACATTAACAGCTATAATCTGGACTTAAATTATCATGGATTCATTGTTTATACTTGTTTCTTTCTACAGTGCCTTAAAATTTGTTTTCTTAGGTAGACACTCAAGTCGCTTACTCAAGTAAATTTTTTTAGAAATGTTGGTGAAATTCAGACTGAATCCCTGAATTTCTGAAAATATCTTTCTCTTGTCCTCACAAGCAAGCAACATGGTGGCTGTATAGGGAAATTTAAGGTCACATGATCCCTTAAATATTGTTTCATTTCCACTGTTTTCTGTATCTTCTAGCCTTTAGTGTTACAAATAAATTAAATGCAAATCTAACTTCACTTTTGTTTATAATCTGGTTTTTTGTTTTCTTTTTCTCTTTGAAGGTAAATATTTCACCAGGATAGGTCTAAATGTGCATTTTTTTTTCCAATGTTTTGCCTGACTTTGGTGAGACTTTCATCTAAAGACTTGAGTGTTTCTTCAGCTCAGGGTGAAATTTTCTTCTATTAGTTCTTTTTTTTTTTTTTAAAGTTTGGCACCTGAGCTAACATCTGTTGCCAATCATCTTTTTTTTCCTTCTTCTTCTTCTCCCCAAAGCCCCCTAGTACATAGTTGTATATTCTGATTATAGGTCCTTCTGGTTGTGCTACATGGGACACCACCTCAGCATAGCCTGACGAGCAGTGCCATGTCTGCACCCAGGATCCAAACCAGTGAAAGCCTGGGCCGCCAAAGCAGAGTACAAGAACTTAACCACTCAGCCACGGGGCTAGCCCATGTTATTTCTTTAATGATTGTTTCACTTCTGTTTGCTTTGATTGCTCCCTCTGGAAACTCTAGTATGTTTATCTTACACAAGTGCTGCCCAACACAAACACAATTCAAGCCACATAGGTAATTTAAACTTTTCTAGTAGTAACATTAAAAAATAAGAAGAAACATGTGAAACTAATTTTAATAATATTTTATTTATCCAGACAGATCTAAAATATTATAATTTGAAAATGTAGTCTATAAAAAAAAATTACAGGTGAGATACTTTACCCTATTTTTTCTTTCATTTGAGTCTTCAAAACCTGGTGTGTATTCTCCACTTGCAGCTCATCTCAGTTCAGACTAGCTGCTTTTCAAGGACTCAGTAGCCACTTTTGGCTGGTGGCTACTATACTGGACAGCATAACAGATCTTCTGGAACTGTCTTCAATACCTTCTTAGTTCTGAATTTTTATCCTTTCTCTTTTTGTTCTGAATCCTAAGAGAATTCATCCAACTAATCTTCAAATTCACCACCTCAGCTTCCTAAGATACCCATCCTGCTTGTTACTGCAGCAACTGAACATTTAAGTCAATAGTCATCTTTTATATCTTCAGAGGCTCTCTCTTCATGGCACCTTGCTCCTGAGCAATCACTGCCTGTTCTGATTATCCAGGAATGTCCTCTGAAATCTGAGGACTTTGTCTTAGAATTTTCATCAAGTTCTCTCTCATCTCCTGCAGTCACTCTGTTTCATTGAAGGCCTTTTGCTCTGCGTTATCCTAAGACTGGATGACTCCACTTTGGAGCTCCTAGGCCTTTTCCTCTGCCTAACAATACTGCCCTATCTGCTTGGTCTTTTATGTGAAAATCTAGTTTATACATCTCTGAGAGCCAAGTTGAGCACCATAAGTGATCACACAGATCACAATTCATTTTTCTTGGTCCCAGAAAGAAGAAAAGTTTAGACTTAAGTGACATTTTCTTTGGTAGCTCAAAGATCTAAGAGTTTGCAGGGAGTAGGGATGGAATTATAGCAGAGGAAATGCAGTAAGCTTAAATTAATCTCCCATTCATGTCCACTCAGACAGCCCAGCAACTGGCTACCATACTGTATAGCACAAATATACAACAATTCCATCACTGCAGAAAGTTCTGTTGGACAGTAACTTGGCTAAACAATTCCTCTTAAAGCCCCAAATACCACACCACCAGGTGCTGGCTCTACAAAATCCCCTCTTCTTACCACTTTCTCCTTCCTTCATGAGTTCTTGCCCTTTCCCTAAAAGCCTTGGCTCTTTTCACCTATTTTGACTTGACACTCTCCTAGTGCAAGGAGAACAAAACCTATTACTAATTAAGTGTAACAGATATTTAACAAGATAGATAGTAGTTTTAGTATTCAAGGACACTCAAAAAGGCAGGCCCATGGTAGCGTTCATGGGACTTGAATCACTAGTTAACTGAGAAAGGTTTCCCAGTATCAGTATTTGAAAGAAATAACTGATATTTGAAGATACCTTTAGTGCATGCACGGCCATTAAATATTGGGATATTGTCAGAAATAACTGACAAATGGTAAGAATGAAAACACTAAATTCAAGATGAAAAGCCAAAAAAATTTTAATTTAAATTATGAGCTGTGTTTCAACTAGAAAATACATTAGTTATAATAAAACACTGAGTAGACTACAAAAAAACTAGTGAAACAAGCCTTTTCCAAAAATTATTGCAATACTGATGACTAGAACCCACAAGCCTTGTAATGCCACCGTACTACCTTTAATAAGAAAGTACGTTATAAATGAGCAGCTGTGTTTAAGCTTAAAGGTCTACTGAGGTTTTTTATAACAACTGCCACAATTCCACAAGGGAAACTTCAGTGAAGGTCGATGAAAGCTGCATGTTCTAAATCACAAAGCCAAGAACAATCATTTCTGTTACTTACAACATTTCAGTAATAAAGCAAATTACCTCAATATGTGGAAAATGCAGAATTTATCTGGATAGACTTTGAATTTGTGCAATAATAAAAGTCCTTTATAACTTCTAAAAAAAGAAAAAGAAATTACCTCAATAACAGGTGTATTTTCCTGGAGTTCAGTTGTGTGCGAGGCCAGTAAACCAATCACCCGAGCAATCTTGGCCCTTCTGTAAACGGAGAGAAAACAGGCTCTGAAGACGAGTTAGGGACCAAGGAAACAAACCCGTGGGTTACACTGCACAATTACAAGCATTAACATGAGATAAAAATGGAATATGTTGGAGGAGTACATGCTCACCATATGTGGCCCAGAGAAACGCTCCTTTGTGGACATGGGGAGACATGAAGAGCAATGCCCTCTGCAGTACCATTAGTAATAGTAACAAAAATTGAACAAGTTGTACTTTAATAGTAAAATGGAAAGTAAAATTTTAAAAGGCCCTCACCATAGAAGGTCCTCACCATAGAGAAGGAAATAGAACTTAACCCTTTTTTGTCTGAGTACAGTGGTATTTGGTTAAAGGTTTCTGTTCTACTTATTAGTAGACCAATGATTTCATACATAAGTAGTAAATAATTAATATCAGAGAACAGTTAAACATATGTATATATTCACTTTAATAGAAATTTTTACAATCGTAAGTCTTATAAAGATTGTTCTAAAAATACCAGTTTTAGTGACATGTTTCTGTTTCATTATCCAGCAGAAAAAGAAGTTGATAAATTACTAAATATCACTTCAGGTGATTTGGAAAAGTTTATTTCACTTAGAAAATTAGTTTTGATAAGATTTCTTTAATTGGGGAAAAAAAAGTTGAACATGTGAGTTGATGAGAACCACCCTCCTATTTAGTGATGCATGTTCTCTGGGCTCATCATTGTGTACATCAGCCAGAGAGCCTCTACTTTTCAGATTCTTAAACTCTGCAGGACCCATGGAGGGAAACCAATCAGACTCAGAGAAGTATCACAGGGAAGTGCTCGTGTTGTCAGAACTCTAACAGGCAGAAATAATTCTCACGGATTCAACACTTTTTGAATTAGACCTTCAAATCTCTTCTCATATACAGATTAAGACGTCCTAGGCATTTGTATGATTAGCATCCTGACTTTGAATAAAAAGATTATACTTTAAAGGTGATCATTTTGAGAAAGATGAACAAACACATGGACAAAGAGAACTATTTAGTGGTTACCAGGAGGAAGAGGTGTGGGGGTGGGCACAAAGGGTGAAGGGGTACACCTATATGGTGACTGACAAATAATAATGCAAAACTGAAATTTCACAATGTTGTAAACTATCATAACCTCTATAAAAAATATAAAAGTTAAAAAAAAACACAAGCAAAAAGTGATCATTTGGAAAAGGATTTGGTAGGACATTGCACCAAAAGTTACAAGAAAAAGCTTCCAGTCACAGCTCTGCCACTCACCAGTTTTGTGACCACAGTCAAGCCAATTATACTTTAATTTCCACATGTGTGCAATTTAAAGAGACAGACGGATTATCCTCTATGTTGTTTCACAACGGTAAAACAAATGCTGATTATTAAAAACTCACTAATGAATTAGAGGATGCAGGGCAAACTTATTTATCTTGGTTCAAAGACAAGCCCACAAAACTTATGAAACACTGAATCAATTTTTCAATCTACAAAATTAAATAATGGTTACCAGATTTATTCAACTTAAAGAAAAATGTATTAACATGCTAATTAAATATTTTCCCAAACCTCACCAGAAACAATTCCTATCAGAACAAGAGAAAACATACTACCTTAAAACTCTTATAGTTTTAAATTATAACCTATTTAAAGTAATAATAACACTATTTCTCAGTTTACATGAAATATTTACATACAACTATATCCTATACACAATGCCCTCACAAAACCAGCTCTTTCTCATAATTCAGGTTTCTTCTTAAATGGCACCACTTCAGGTGCCCCCAATGACCCATCACAGTGTACCTCAGAACTGTCCCCATGTCCACAACAGCATCTAAAATTGCACTGGCCAATAAACCTTCACGCAATGACAGAAATGTTCCATATCTGCATTGTTCTGTATCCACCAGATACATGTGACTATCAAGCACTTAAAATATGGCTGGTGCAAGTGAAGAACCACACAAATTAATTAATTATAATATTTGAAATTAGTTTTAAATTTAAATAACCACACGTGGCTAGTGGCTACCATATTAGACAGAGCAGATCTAAAATGTTGTAGCTACTCCATGTGTTTACTTTATTATCTGTCTCCCCCACCAGGCCACAAGGTCCCTGAAGGCAGGGATCTGTCTTGCTCCCCACTGCAAGCACCAAGACGGTACCAGGCATAAAGCAGGCCCTCAATAGATGTTTGTTGAATGAATATGCCAATATAAAAAGCAAAGTGACTAAACACATTAGTAGGAAAGGAGCAGGTAAAAATATGATTACACAAGGTAAACAAAAGTGGAGCAGGATTTCCAAAGTAAACCTCAAAGTAGAATTTAAGGCTAAAATCATTAAATGAGAAAAAGATTCCTGTAAACTAAAAAAAAAAATGACATGACCTACAAACGATATAAGCTGTTCATCATTACACACCATACAACAAAGAATGAAAAGGGAACCTGATAGGAGTGGGCAACTTCAGTCTACTTCTCTCCCAAGCATAGCAAGAAGACCACAAGGAACACATACATAAAAGCATCCCAATAAAAAGTCAAAGTAACAGGCGTATAGATCAAACTCTACCATCTACAAACAGTGACCACCCTTACTCAATGGGAAGCTGTATAGGGTGCGTTTACGACTCTGGAATGAATGCCCTGGGCTCAGTCTTGTGGGGAAGGCAGTACTCATCCTTCATGTGTCTGGTTACCTCATATGTTAAGCAGGACTAACAACAATACGCACCTCATCAAGTTGTTCAAAGAATCAAAGGCACTAACCCATGTGAAGAAATTACTATAGTGTCCAACATTTAATATCTGCTGAATGGGTTAGCTAATATTATCACATTATTTATTACATTCATGACATATTTTTTTAAACTATTTTATATTAGATCACAAAGATAAATTCATGGAATTCCCAAAGGCATAAATTATATAGGAGACATTACGATATGATAAAAGTGAAGTAAAAATATAAACCAAAAAAGCCTAAGCGCCTGTAAACTTAGAAGCACTTCTGTATACCTTATTCATCAAATGAAAAATGAAAGTCTGCATCAATCACAATCACGTAAGCAACACAAGTCAAAACTCCAGAGATTTTTTCCTGCTTTACAATAGCTGACTGGACCCTGACACCCACCTTTCTGCTCCCTCAAGAGTCTGCTAAAAGAAAACACTGTTCATAATTAAATCATAATTAGAAACAGAACAAAGGGCTGAAAGCAGATCAGAATGTTTGAGGAAATTCCAGATGATATACATAGATGGAATTATATTGACAGAGAACAAATAGAAGAAATTCCTGTCTAAGAACCACAGATAAATATATATCTTCCCAAGGAAGCCCCAGAGACTTGAAATAAACTAACACAGAAGCAAGGATGAGCCACAGGACAGTCATCAGATTAGAGAACTGCACAATGAACTGGTGAGCCAATGCGGTCCTGCCTCCTTCCCATCTCCCTCCTTGATAGAGAAAAGCCAGCAGTCCTGCCCTCCAGAATAAAAACAGAAAATTATTCCTACACTGAACAATCTCCCCTGGGGTGGGATACAGGTGTGGATGTGGGGAGCAGAGTCTGTGGCCCTCCACACCAGCTACTAGAGCAGGGAAGGAGTTAATGCAGAGAAGCCAGCCCCTCCCCAAAGAAAACCCGTCCTGGCAATTGAGGAGGCCTCCAGGCTGCCCACCTGCTCCTCAGCCAGCTAGACTCCCAACATACAAGTCAACCACTCAACAAGCATCACCCACTCACACGCCAGCCCTTTCCTTTAAAAATGAGGTTGTTGGAAAAACAGAGAAGTACAGAAGAAATTTGTATTGTCAACTTCTATACTGATCAATTTAACCATTTATTCATAATATAAACTAAGTACCAAAGATCACCAAGCATTTGAGGAACCAAGAGCATTAAAGGACCATGATGAGAAAGAAGTGACCCATGCGTTAGAGATAAGAATAGAATTTTCATAATCTTAATGTTTAACCATAATATTAGTCATAACATTTAATCCTAAATTCTGTTCCAACACAGTTTTTTGTTGGTTTTTTTTTTTTTTTGATGAGGAAGATTGTCCCTGAGCTAACATCTGTGCCAATCTTCCTCTATTCTTGTACATGGGATGCCAACACAGCATGGCTTGACGAGCAGTGTATAGATCCGCACCCAGAATACGAACCTGCAAACTCCAAGCACTGAAGCAGAGTGTGTGAACTTAACCATTATGCCACGGAGCCAGCCCCCAAAACAGAATTTCTATAATCCTCTAATTTATCCTCAAATTCAAAAGTACATTATAGACCAAATACATGCAGCTAGGAAAAAGGACCAACTAGAAAAAAAGAAAATGCACAAAAATTGTAAAATACAATTGTTGAAATAAAATAGAGATTCTTAATAACAAAATGAGCAAGGATAAATATCAAGCTTGAAAGCTCAAAGATAAAATTAGAGAAGAGCAGTAAGAGACAGAGTTTGGCAGTTCTTCAAAAGGTTGAACACAGAATTAACATATGACCCAACAATTCCACTGCGAGGTACATACTCAAGAGAAATGAAAACATATGTTCACATAAAACTTCATATACAAATGTTCATGGCAGCATTATTCATAATAGCCAAATGTCAAAACCACCGAGTGTCTATCAAGAATGGATAAGCAAAATGTGGTATATACACACAATAGAATATTATACAGCCATAAAAAGAATGAAGTACTGATGCATGCTACAACATGAATGAACCTTGAAAACATTATGGTAAGTGAAAGAAGCCAGTCACAAAAGATCACATTTTGTATATTTCATTTATATGAAATATTCAGAATAGGCAAATCTATAGACAGAAAGTAGACTGGTGGTTTCCAGGGACTAGGGGGATGAGGCAATGAATACAGGGTTTCATCAGGTGATGGAAATGTTCTGGAATTAGATGGTAGTGATTGTCACACAACTTTGTGAATATACTGAAAAGCACTGAATTGTACAGTTTTAAAAAG